TTATTTATTATCCTGCCTTTAGATCTTATCAAACATGAACTTATTCTATGACACTCTTTGAAATTTTAGAACCCTTGGAAGTGGTCACAATAGAGGGTGACCATTCTAACCTGTCAAAAGATACCCATTATCTTTGTCTGATAAGCAGACATGCCAGGATGGCAGCCAATTTTTTTACTGATTCTATTGAAAACATCAAAGGAGAAATTACTGAAATCAACTTGGGTACTTTGTTTTTTATCTTGCTTATACAACTTAACATAATATCCTCTTAAAATAGGTTTTTTTTTTATTATTTTTTTATCTTTATTTACTACTATACTTTTAGAATTTCTCAAGCTTGAAGTTGGATTCATATGAAGATTGCATTGGAAAAGGTTTTTAAAAAAAATGAAAAAGAAAAAAACACAATTCAAGATCTCTTTTCTCACTTTTTTAAGAGGCCTCCCCCCAATAAGATTTGAAGCCTGAAATATGTTCAATTTCCACTGCCGAGTTCCGTTCCCCTTTCATAGAACAATGGATACGAATTTTTACATAGGTAATTCCAAATTATCCCTCAATTCAGGACAACTAGATTTAATGAAACTTTAGAGGAAATTTTATCATTAGCCTTTAATAGTAGAAATTTTTTTATTGTATGAAAGTTTTATCTATAACTTGTCTATTTTATTTAAACTTTTGTATATTCATTTGGATACAAGTAGCCTACTTTCTCCCACTATGTCTATTAGTCAAAATTTCATTCTCTCATCATCTGTCATGTAATTCTTTCCAGCATCTATAAACTCCATGTCATTTTCTTCTGACCATCTAAAAGGGACCCTTAAGGCCTAAAAGGGCATCCTGCAGGGCTAAGTAGCCATAAATTTTACTCCTCAGGATTAGGGTAGAGGATGTAATATGAGTCCCATCTACCATTTAATTTACCAATCGTAGGACCACCAACCCCATAACAGACTTGACAGAGCTCTAACCATTTATTTCTGTATTCAATGCCTCTCGTCTGCTTCTCCTTCTACACTGCCTTCCTCAGAAGAAGAAACTGTGTGTGTATGGTAGGGTTACTTGGCCAGACATAGTTGTACACACCAATGGGTAGTAATTTGGTCCCATTTGGAGATTTTATGAGTGCAATGTTTATTGGAACCCACATTTAGTTGGCTCGTGAATGTTTTGAACCTAACTCGGTGCCAGAAGCTCAGATGAGCTTGCTCGTAGGGGCCCTTATTTGGCCTTGTTTTAATTTGCATGTCGGATGTACTCCCCGGTTGAATGTAGTTTTTTATAAAAAGATAGATAGATAGATACTTGAAGCCTTTACGTAGGGATGCTGAAAAATCGAGCTTAGTTGAGCATAAGAATGTTTAGAGTTGGCTTCTTAAATTGTTGCCTTAGTTTGGACATGCAAGCTTGTAACGAATATCAGAAAACTAAGCTCGTTAGTTGGCTCAACTCAGTTTGTGTGAACTGTGTAATCATAATATTTTTAAGGTGCCTAAAATTACCAATATGCATTAACGGTTAAAACGAGTACAACCTACTCGAAGTAATTTGATTTGTTGATTTTTCAGGTAGTGAAGCTGGAGCTGTTCGTGAAAAACTCTATTCATAAACAAATGCTTTACAGCCTCATCACTTGTCGGAAAGGTTGGAGCAAGTAATGCCAATGCTTTGATTGCAGAATTGGACCACACACCCCCAATAACCTATTTTTTGGATCACTTGATGAATAAAGACAGAAGAAAATGCACATGGCATTTTCTCCTAGGCACATATTAGATTGTACAACTTGAAGATTGCATTTGTTGCCGCGTCTAAAATGGTTTGAATATTTGGCAGCACATGAGATGGTGACCACCTTGAATATATATATATATATGAGATGCTAAGCACACTTTGGATACCCATTGCCTGGTATGTACTGCGTAACAGAAGAGATGGAATGACAAGGGGCTCAATTATTTGACTCACGCAGAGGGTGTGCAAGCTAAACAAGTTAATGGTTATGGGGTCATTTGGGTCCTCCATTCTGTGTCTCTTGAGGGCCACACTCACAGGTGGGTACTACTCTCTCGGTTATTTATCATATGGATTTTGGGTGGTCCTGTGAGATAGTACTCATCAACGTGTGTGTGTGTGTGTCTTATACCAGTGATTGTGTGTTGCATAAAAACTTTTGGTCATAATTCAATGGCAAGTCAATATGGTCTTGTTAGAGAAGTGTGCCAGATCTGATTAGTGAGATTATTATTGTCACAGGAACAGCTTCTGCGTATGTGGGTTAAGGCTGGTTCAAAATATTCTTGACACGTGACTTTTTGTCTCGCGAGTTTTAAACTCTATGTTATAATTTAGTTTATAAGGATCTCAGGGTTTATGTTATGTGAAAACACTGTTTTTCTTGTAACAATTATATTTTGATAATTTGCTGCCCCACTGAACATTTTGAAGTGCTTTAGTGCAATGACCAAAGATTGGAGGATGGTAATGTTATAAAAGAAGATTTGTTCTACATCGGATTCGGATGAAAGAATGATTGAGTATAAATGAATGAATATGCAGCACTATCTAATAATTTAAACCTTTGAGTAAATGGGTAAATACTCATCCGTTACAGTTAGTATCAGAGTCGGACCCAAGCATTGATCCGGCGTCACCCCAAGCGCCCGGTCCAGAGAGCGTCCGAATCTTCTTCCCGGGTAGGTAGGGTGCCTGAGCCACAACGAGGGCGTTGCGAGTTTAGGTGGGAGAGAATATTACAAGGAGATATTTGTCCCACATCGGATCTGAATAAGAGAGTAATTGGGTATAAATGAATGAGTATGTAGTACTACTCAATAATTTAAATTTTTGAATAAATGAATAACGTGAAAGTAGACTTATTTATGAGACAAGAGACGAATAAATGAACATATATAATATACACACATTGAGAGACTATAATCAACAATTTCTTTTATCCTAAGACTGTACTTAATCCCCAACTTGATGGAGATGCTCTATAGTTATTAAAAACCATATACAACTGTGGAACATTGGACCAATTTCTAACTTTCTATGTGTCCACTTTTCAGGCTATAACAATATTAATGAATATTCCGAAGTCGAAAGGATATTAATTAATTCAGGAGCTAAGATGGCAGAGACTACTAAAGTGGCAAAGGTATGGTTTTACTACAATGTTTATATGAATGTTTCATCTACAAATATGAAGGACCACCACATAGCTGGGTGACATATGCTAGAGAGAGAGAGAGAGAGAGAGAGGCCCATATGGGTCCTCTTCTTTTGCTGTCATTTCTGCTTTACAGCTGTAAGCAAGAAAAATGGTAGGAAGAAAAGTTAAATCATTTTTTTTATTTAATTTTTTTAGTCTATGTTCTATAAAATTTGAATTCATGTGACTTTATTAATGAAACAATAACAAGTGAGAGACCAGGTCAAAAAGAAAGTTCAGTGAATCAAGTATCATCAACCCTAAAGTCCCTGCTCATCATATTATTCTACAATTATTGGTGTTGGGAAGACACTGCCCTTATATATATATATATATATATATATATATATATATATAATTGTATTTGTGTACACCATACATAGACATTATGAGGATCATGATGATCTACTAGCATGCATCTACTACCATCTACAATCTACCAACCTTAAAGAAAAGAACAAAAGTAGGACCAGGGACATCTTCCACAATATCAAAGATTTTGTCTCCCAAATTCAAAATCCACACCTTTTACCTTCCTCCCTACCTTTATGGATTGTGGAGCACAAAAACACTCTCCCAAACAAACCCCCCACAAAATAATTTTTTATGCTGCTAGCTTGTTGCATGATTTATAGGATATAATGTCCTCTTGATTCAAATTATGCAAAAGTCCCATGTAACAATAACTATGTCTCGAGACATTGATAGAACAAGGATTATATTACACGTGGCTCAAATATCATATTATGATGGATAATCATAGTGTGACAGTTGGTTCGCGTGCAATAGTTAAATCTTTTGGCTCCAAAAAAATATATATTATTTTTGTGTAACACGTTAATAAAGCTATACACCAAAGAGCTCAGAGTGGTGTGACATGGTTCAATTAAAAAATCCACTAAAATTCACATCTTGTGTCTTTTGCAATTTAAAGGGGTTGTAAACTTTACATATTTTTATTGGGTATACCAAGTCTTACGCTACCCATAACTTGGAAACATCACAAAGCCTGTCTAATCTCATAATGACACAATTATATATATATATATATATATGACCAAGTAAATTCTCTACTTGAAATTAAGTTTGCTGTGAATTCAAATGCACTGTCATAGTAATAGATTGTTCAACACTCTAAAACCATACATACCATTAATTTAATTCTTTGGAATTACTGTAATTCGATTCTTGATAAAACCGTATAAGTACAACTTTAGTACACATTCTTTGTGATAATATCTCTAATCACTATCGACGACTAGTCTGAGCATCTGACAGTAGTGTCCCACAAATCTTTAAAAAGTCCAGAAAATCCAAGAGCTATTTGACAGGGGGGGTTTTTAGGCCTTGGTCCTCTTGGATTAGATTAAAATATAGTAGTATATACAGTAATAGGAGGAGAGTGAGATATGTGTGTGTGTATATATATATATAATATTGAGAGAGAGAGGATTACGGTCATCTCAAGCTAGCTAGGCAAAGGGACACATCTACCGAGGTCAAACCTCCAAAAATCAAAACACAAAAAGTCCCTGATGCCAAACCCAAAATCAAACCCCAAAACCCTAAAATAAAAATAAAAATAAAAATGAAAACCCAAAACCCCACCGACCGACACCCTGTTCTCGCTTCATATGCAAACAAAATCTCTCTCTAAAATATATACATATATTTCTCTCTCTAGACTCCATATAAAACATATGGCAGTCTGTTCACCCAGTTTCCAACTTAAAGTCCATATGCAATGACTAATGAAAAGTTGAGAGAACTGAAATGGAAATGAGACAATTAATAATTTAATATCAACATAAATCTCATGAATTTATGACAATATTAATATAAATACGTCCATATAAAATATGCTCGAAAGAGAGAGAGAGAGAGAGAGAGAAATTTCACATATACAGAGAAGCAGAGCAGCAGATATTCATTTGCTTCTCTGTATTTACTCCTTTTTTTCCCTCTCGTCTAAAATGCCAACCGTCTCTGCACCCACCAACTCTGCGTTTCATATATATATTGGAAATGGGTGGACAAATGCAGAGATAGTGACAATTTAAATTGCCTTATAAGAGAAAAATATTACAATAATCATAACAAAGATGGAGTTTTTAGAGAGAGAGAGAGAGAGAGACAGAGAGAAAGAGAGAGATTAACGAGGGCTGCCAACAGCATCCACAAACACCCTGCTGAGTGATGGCAAACACATCTCCTGAGCTCTGCTCTTCTTCAACAGAGGCTGTGGTGAAGAAGAGACTGATGAACCAACAGCCCATGAATCGTTTGAGCTATCAGAGCTAAAGTATGCATCGATTACACCATTTGGGCTGTTTGGAACTTGTTGATACTTGCGTTTGTGAGGGTTGGTTTGGCCATGGACACAAGTGTTTGATAGGTCCCCAATGAGCTGATAGCAATCGTTCACTTTCTCCTGTAATGTAATGTCATATATTTAGCATTTATTCTATGTTTCAACACAATATTTTATGCGTTGAAAATGTGTTAAAATCTAAAATAAATGTGTTAAAATCACACATAAAAGATAGATAGATACAAACCTTGCTGATTTTGAGAACACCCAGAAGCTGATTTTGGTATTCAATGGGATTACAAGGCTCAACTTGGTGGATGACATGAAGCATTGTTGCAGTGGCCAACACAGATGGTAAATAGCGTACGAATCTACAATCTATATAAATCATAAACAGAGTACATATATATGAGATTATATATATGTATATTGATATAAGAGTTCAAAGATCTAAGTATGGTGAATGAGATTTGATGAGTGATATGATTCTTACCAGCAACAACAGAGAGGAGGAGACGCTCACATCGCTTGAGAAACTCCCAATGGAGATGGGTCTTCAATCCAAGCCTCCTTATGATGTGATCAAGAAAAGAAAGTGGGGTCACTGGGTTCATCCTCCATTGAAGAGTGGACAGAACCAAAAGCTCCATTCTTTGGATGGTCTTGGCCTCAAACACATACTTTGTGTCCTCCACCTGAAACAAAATCAGCATTTATGATTTGAAAAACCCAATAAAAATGGGATTGAAAGAAGACCCATAAATGATATGTAATCATACTTGAAGGTCCAGAAGAAGAGGCACTTGGGTCTCTTCTACTTTTGCCGCCAGAGAGATACAAGTCACAGCTGCAAGTTGGATCATCCATGGCTTCTCTCTCTGAAAATGGAGGCTGCAGAGGAACCTATCAAGGTAATTGATGGCGAGAATTGCAGTGAGAGCTGTGAATCCATAATGGGCATTGACTTTGAGCATCCACTCGACAGCCTGCGTACGAGCCACGGAGAGAGAAGAGTACTCTGTTTCAACAATGTTGGGACGGGTTTGTTGTTCTTTGGAGAAGAGAGAGAGAAGCTCTTCATCCTCCCAAAACAGGTCCTGTTCCAATAAGAGCAGAGGAAGAAGAGATGGGTTTGTTCCATTGTTGCTATTATTGATACTACTTTCTCTCTCTAGATCTGTCTCTTCTTCTTCCTCCTCCTCCCATTGCTCTTCTTCACAGTAAAGAGCATCTAACAAGAATGATCTGTTTTGTTGTTGTGTTTGTTGATGCTCATGTTCTTGTACGGCCATCTTCTTCCGAGAAGAAGAGGTTTCAATTCTGTGCTCATTATACAAAAGAGAGAAGAAAAGTGGAACCCATTCTCACAGTATTCATGGCCCTATCTTTCTTTCTCTCTGTGTGTGTGAACTGTGTGAAGAGAGGGGGGGGGGGCTTAGGAAGACTGTTCTCAAAATCAGAAAGAAAGAAAAGGGAGAGATTTTATCAGTGTGGCTTTCACGCTTGTCCTTTCTTTATATGTTGGGGATATTGATTTTTGGTGGGTGTTTGTTTTTCTTTTTCTTTTTGCGATTATTTTTCTTTTTCCAATTTCAATATGTGCTTTCGGTGTGTTTCGTGACAGGCACAAATTGAAGGGCACGCACACCAAGCAGGACCCCATGAAAAATAAAGAAACATAGAAACATATTGTGTGCCAGATTTGTTACATATATGTACACACACGCGCACACACATATACTATTGTTTGATTGTTGATACAATCGTTATAGTTGGACTGACTTAATAATGCACTGTATCAGGAAATTTTATTTTTGAAAAACTTTTGGTAAGATTAATGCTTGACCATTGATTGAGGTATCAGGTTTCTCTGGTGTCATTTTTCTTTTTCTAGTTGGATTATTTTTAATTTTGTCTAATTCGGTAATTTTACACTGTAAATGCAACAATTATGTAAATGTATTTGAAATTGATTATCGTATCTTTAATATAAATGTATTACATCACTTTTTATGTGAATGTTGCATTCCGTTAATGTAACCGTATTAAATTGTAATATTTCTTGTTGCATTGTTGGTGTATCTATTTTGCACAAGGCACATGATGAGTGCACAAGATCCCCATAAATGGAGGGGATAGGGTTCTTGATTGAATCTTAAGAACGAGATTAGAGTATCTATAATCTTATACTCAAGTTTATATCAGTTTTAAACATTGGATTTTCTATATCTTTCTGTATGAAATATATTAATTGTTATGCAGGATTACCAAAGAAAGCCGAAGTTATGAGACTAGAAGAAAAGGGTGAGGAAATAGACGAATGAGGTGAATAGATAGGTTGGAATCAATAACAAAAATGGGAGGAGCAAGAAGAATAAAAAAAAATTCCGAAAAAACAATAATCAATATTCTTCAAAAACTAATAAATTCAGTTACATGCAGCATTTCATAGACAAATTTTTAAAAAATAAATAAAACAACATACTGAATAAATATTAAAATAAACCTAGCAAAAGATATCTACGCGTGGACTGATTTAAGTGCGAAACACCTCATGAATCTCCTCTCAATCTCATTTGTGAGCATAATCAGATTTAAATAATCGCTTTAAATCTTCTATTTCTCATGTGATTGTGATTGTGATTGTGATTGTTATTTGTGATTTGATCTTTATGCAGCTGTGTGTTTTGCGTCCACAACAAATGATACGATAGATTTGTTGATGCACAGTAATTTTAGTTCAAGAAAAGTTGTCTCATAATAATTAATCGGCAAAAAGTTTAATCATCTTTTACAAAATTCTCGTTCAAATCAAAGATTAGATTCATAGATACTGTTGTTTGATGTCAATTTTTTTTTTTTTTTTTTTCCTGGAACAATGATGAAATAGTTTTCAATCAACTTTAAACACTCTCAAAATTAACTGGCTATTGTTCACTGCAAGTACAACCCAGAATCGTGGTCCAATATCATCTGTATTCATATCTATTCACACAATCAAACACGCATATATATATATATATATGTGTGTGTGGTATTTTATTTATTTATTGATCAAGAACCTTTTTTACTACATAATTTGTTAGCAAAGTATATAACTTGCTCACAGAAAATATCAACATGAATCATGTACAGATTTTGAAGAAAAATCATCTCCATTATGCTTGATCAGTAAATGGTAAAATGTCAACATGTACATCCAGCAATGATATTTTAGTCATTTCACATGTTATCTAAGTGACAAATTTTTTAGAATTCAGTTATTTTAGACCGAAACAGTTACTTTGCAACTCCATAATAGTAAGAGTATCGTGCATTAGACTAGATATTAGGTGTGTCAGATATACCTAATATCTCCATCCAATAAAAATGTATTATCTAGTGATATTCGTTCCACCTACTTGTAAAAAATGCTCCCAAAACCTTGATGGGGCAAATTTTCATAAAACATTAATTTTGGAATTCAGATACTATAGACGGAACCAATCTCTTTCCATGTAGAAGTAAAACTGGATACATCTAATCTTCTCCAAACTCTGTAATAGTAAGACTCTCGCACATTGGAATCGTCCAGTCATAACATTATACTAGATGGGTGCCAAAATATACTTGATATGTCCATTCAATAAAAATGCACCATCGAATAAAATTTGTTCCACCTACTTGTAAAAAATGCTCCCAACAAGTTGATAGGGTAAATTTTCACCGAACGAATACTACTAAGGACGTGGTATACCTGAAGCAGCCAATGGCTTCTCCTAGCCCTAGGCCATGTTGTTTGACAAAGCCATGCATGTAACACAATTGATGCATGTGACCCAATAATTGTGAAAGACAAGACTAAAATTTGAGTGGAAACTTGAATACCTTGATTTCCAGTTGCAATACAGTTCTCTCCATGACAGTTGGGCATTTGACTAATTTGAAGAGCTGATGCAAAAGGACAGCCCCAAGTCTGCAAGAGTTTTATCTATGTTCCACAAGAGCTGTTTCGCTTGGCTATACTATCACTGAACTTGGACTCATTAAGGTATTCAACAATCTAAGCCTAAATACCAGCTCAACTTAATATTTTTTTATTTTATTTTAATATTGTTATTTAAAATAATAATTTTCTAACCTGACAAGATTAAGAGAGCTTAACCAAGGAGACTAGTGTTAAAAGAGGACTTGTTTCACATTGAATTCGGATAAAAAAACTAAACAGGTATATATGAATTGAATATTAACCCCATCTACTAAAAACTTAAGTTTTTAAATCGAATCGTAAAACACCGTGAAGGCATTGTGAGTTTTGGTCCGACCACTCTTGGTAAGTGAAGTGATGGTATTTTAAGCATTACTGGAAGTAAATCTTCTTTGTACATTGCAAAGTGTTCATACTTTTGAATTTGAATCCTTTTAACCATGTCTTTAATTTCAACTTCACTTTTCATCTAAAACAATAAATAACTTGAGGATAAAAGGTAAAAACCACCCGCCTCTTACTACATCTTGAAAACTGGCTCCTCTTACTACATCTTGAAAACTGGAGGTGAATGTAATTTTCGGATTAAAAAAAAAAAAGGAAATTCATCTTATAATGATATATTTATTGGAGGTGAGTGCAATTTTTTTTTTAAAAAAAAAGAAAAAATAATAAATAAAATGGAGACCGGGATGCTAGCTTGTCTATGCAGAAAGTCATTATTGATATTGTCTTGTCTGTCAGTGCCAGCCTCGACACAACACCATACAGGCGCACACAATACCTCCTCAGCTCCAAAGGACACTGACAACTGAAAATAAATAAAACATTTTTTTTGGGGAAAAATAAACAATAATGAGAAGTTCTAAGAACGAACCTTGTTCAGGAAATCATGTAGATTCATCCTGTAGCGATGCAATAGAACTGCATTACAAGGTAATACAGTTTAATAACAATGTAGTACGATGACAACTTTAACACATTTATATTGAAGATATAACATCCATGCAATATTCATATTTACATTAAAAATATAATATTCATGTAACATATTACATTGCGTAACAATGTTATAATACCATTAAATAAAAAAATATTGCATTGTCAATTTAAAATTATTGCATTCATAATTTAAAGTTGTAGCTGTAGTCTAATTCATTTAAGAAAACTCTCACAATAAATTAGGCAATCTAACGAAAACATAATGTTAAACATTAAGATCTGAATTTTAATTTTGAACTCTTCTTCATTAGAACCTATTTTTTAAATGATATTCAAATTGCAAGGTCGAACATACTTATATAATGAGATGCTACAATGCCTTTTCTGCTTTTTAATTACAAGATTCCAATAAATAGTGTTCAACAAGACTCTTAGCTAATAATAGATAAAATAGAGTCTCCTCTTAAAATGTTTATCTCAATGATTATCATATCAGTCGATAACAAAAATTAATCGAGAGATATATCAATTTCTTTATATACTAAATCACTTAACACTTGAAAAGGTAAATAGGGACCCAAATAATGAGAGACGTAAAAGCCTTATTCCTAATCCTAAATAAAATGAAATGACCGATATGCTCAACTGACCTTTTCTCATAATGAGAATGTATGTAACCCTATTTCGATCTGATCCGGCATGTTTAGATAGTTACTTGTGAACTAGTAGATTCAATTCTACAAAGAAAGACATTCTTTACATATCCCCTTTGTAGGTGCAAAATTTCGCCCAACCAATAATGATTGAGAAAAATAAAACAACTCACTCAAAAATAATAAAAATAAATAAGAACAGTGTGTAGAGAAGCGTAGAATTGCTTGATCCTTTATTGGAGGTCTTAGCCTCTATTTATATACAAAAGATTGCAAGATTATGGTAGGACTCGCGTTACTTGCCCTCCAATTCTTTCTATATAACCATTCTTTTCTAATAGAGTTTTTTCCATTGTCGAATTTTCCATACATAGAACTTGCCTTGTACAGAACTTCCTATCAGAATTTTCCTTCTACAGTAAATCCTTCAAATAGTAGGACTTGTGCATTCTTGGGCCGAATATATTTTGATCTGGTTGGGCTTGAGTAACAGGCCGGATGTTAAATACTCATAAACTGGGCTGATGACTTCTTGATTCGGCCTTGATGGAAGTTGGAGGACAAATAACAATGGTCTTGGGCTGTAAATACCCTCAACTTGGGCTTGAGCATGATGGGCCTTATATGTCCTTGGAATGTAGATATAGGTAGTGGTGACGTGTGCGCTTTTTATTGGAGGGAGTTTTTTCCCTCCACACTTTGCCCCAAATTCCATTTTTAATTGAGTGACGGCTCCTATTAAAGAGGGAATTGAAACCGGTTTTTACTTTGCTTCAGAAACGGTTCGTGGTCTTTCATTATTACTCCGTCACACAAGATTTTGCAAGAGTTACATTTGCCCTTGCTGCACTTCTGCGTCCTTCATTCCATCGCTTCCTTCGCTTTGTCAGGTTAGTTTCGCATCTTTCTCTTCAATCTTTCATTATGAGTACTTCATCTACTCCCGAACGTGTAGACCTTGGGGATTCTGAATCCACACCTTCATCTTCCCCCGTTTGCATTAGGGCTCCCCCTCCTAGGGTTTCTACAGATCGCCCTTCG